AGCAAGTACTCGTAATTATCACCCAGCTTTAATTGCGAAATAAACCAACCCAACATCATATACAAACTAAATAAATAAAATTTATATTTTTATTTCCGTGTATAAATTATTTATTGAAAGTATTTTACTCCAATTGATAATAGGCTTTTTGACCGATAGATTACAATTGCTTTATTTTATAAGGAATACATTAAATGATTAAATACTAAAACAGAGAGAAAATGAGAGTGTGAGAATAACACCTGTAAATAAAAGACACGGTAGGAGGAAGCCGTCTCCGATTCAATGAAATGGAAGAACTGGTCAGGTGTAGCAGAAGTGTACTAAAGTGCAGGATGATGTTGAGCACCGAGGTGGTGCCGACAAACTAATCGGAGCGGAGATGGGTTCAGCAACAACGTCGTTGACGAAAACAAAAGGTATTTTTTGTTTAATTAGGGTTTCATCTTTTTTCTTCGAGATTAGCTTCTCAAATTTTCTGATCATCGATTATTGTTAAGTTTAGGGCTTAATATTTTATGAAGTATTGCGTAAATAGAAAGTAAAATACAACATTATTTTGGGTTTATTTGTAGAGATTTAGTTTCTAAAAATCACGAATTGGTTTTGATTTTTTCAGTTAATATTCATGAGATTGTGATGCATAGTTGTATGATTCGCTTTTTATTAATGATAAAATGATAAATGGAGGGTCCATAAAGTTAGCAAGATATGTGGGATGGTGCTAATTCGTCGGTATGGCTAAATTTATTTGGGTTAAAGGGCTTTGTTCTAGGGTTTGTGAGTAATAATGTCGATTTAGTTATGTGTATAATAATTGTACTGATAAGTTATAGACAATGGTAACCAACTTTGTCGATTTAGGTATGTATTTATGCCATGTTGAATAAATTTCCACATACGATTACTGCCATGTGTATTTGGAGTACCTTGCTACAAGGGCATAAATGTCCACACAGATAAAGCAGCATCAACTGCACCCCTTCCTTGCTACAACTTTGGAGTACCTAGCTACAACTTTGGGTCCCGCAAACAGCTGGAGATTGCAGAATTTGATGAGTGATTGTTGATAATTCCAAAGGTTTTTATTAGTATTATTAAAATTTGAAAAATATATAATTAAATTTTGTATGAATGGTGATAATTTTATTTTTTGATAATGCTCAGGATCTTGTTGTGAATGCTGTAAAGGATGCGACTGATTTGGTGGCTAAGTAGCATGCATATCACCACAGTGCACAAACTAAGAAAATTCATCAATTTTATAATGTACAATATGAAAAAAATTTGTAAAGAAGAAATTCTATTATGTACAATATGAAAATAGTCTATAAATTTAATTAATATGGTGTAATGGAATTATTATTTTGTAAAATAAAGTTGTAATTTAGTTGGGTATTGTTTTGTAGTTTTCTTTTGTTATGTTGGAAAAAAAAAGGGCCGCATAAAGCCTTGAACTAAGACACACTGTACGTTTGAATTCGTAATATTAAGAATTTTGCAGTTTATATATGCAATATTATATGAGTTATTTTGTAGATTATTAGGTCAAAATTATGTGACATAATTTTTATAATTTGATGGCAGAGAAAAAACCAAAACAAAAAGGTATTTATACACGGAAATTCATCATTCTTTCTCCCTCATTTGCATACCGTAAATTTAATAAAATACCGTTGTGAAGATTTGCCAAAGACAATAAGGACAGTTCTGTTAATAAAGCTAATAAAAGGGAAATTACGTAAAATTGTATAGGATGACACTGTGATTTATTAAAAATATTAAATTTATAGCTTACATATAATATGATATAATTAGGAAATTAGATGCTATAGTATACATATAAATTTAATAAAATGATAGATATTTAAATATGAGTTTTGATTCTGAAAGCATCAAAGTAATGTGTAGGCTGCTATTAAATGAAAGTAGGTTGCTATAAACGCAATTTTTTATAATAAAAGGGTAATTAGGTAAATTTCAAATTCCATTAATGTAGTTACATTTCCCTTTCACATACAATATCATATGCAGGTTTAAAATGGACATTTATGCCCTTGATTCCATTTTTCACAGATTTTATACAAATTTATTTAAAAAAAGGTCATAAATGGAAAGAATCATGAAGTCAATACCGTTGTAGATATTTTCATTGCCAAAATGAGAACACCTCAACATACAAAAGGATTCAAATAGTAGAGTTATATAATCAGGGACAAATGCAGCAAAAAGATAAAAAATATATATATAAACTTTGCATTGATTCAATAATAAACTGCTTTGCAAAATAAGGTAATCATTAAACCAAAATGGATCAAACCATATATTGTTATGAACAAACACAAAGAAAACAATACTGCTGTTTAGTAGAAGCTACCACAAGGAAATATCCAAAACCCAATTCCGTTATTCAATTAAAAAAGTAAAAGATAACACAAATGAGTATTCATAGTTTACCAAACACAAAATTTAGAAATCCAAAATAATATGCAAGTAAAAGAAGGAAATATAAAAAAAATATCTTAGAAGAAAGCAATGATACATATAAATTTAATAAAATGATAGATATTTAAATATGAGTTTTGATTCTGAAAGCATCAAAGTAATGTGTAGGCTGGTATTAAATGAAAGTAGGTTGCTATAAACGCAATTTTTTATAATAAAAGGGTAATTAGGTAAATTTCAGTTTCCATTAATGTAGTTACATTTCCCTTTCACATACAATATCATATACAGGTCTAAAATGGACATTTATGCCCTTGATTCCATTTTTCACATATTTTATACAAATTTATTTAGAAAAAGGTCATAAATGGAAAGAATCATGAAGTCAATACCGTTGTAGATATTTTCATTGCCAAAATGAGAACACCTCAACATACAAAAGGATTCAAATAGTAGAGTTATATAATCAGGGACAAATGCAGCAAAAAGATAAAAAATATATATAAACTTTGCATTGATTCAATAATAAACTGCTTTGCAAAATAAGGTAATCATTAAACCAAAATGGATCAAACCATATATTGTTATGAACAAACACAAAGAAAACAATACTGCTGTTTAGTAGAAGCTATAACAATTTCATCCAAAACCCAATTCCGTTATTCAATTAAAAAAGTAAAAGATAACAC